AATTTAAGTTCATTAATATGCGGCTGATCATCTGAATTGAGTGAAACAGTTTTAAATTTTGTTTTTTTTCACATTCAAACTCAATAAAGTATTATTCATCCAGCGAAGAATTTTTCTCAGAATAACTTCAGAAGTTTTATAGACTTCATCCCAACTTTCACCAGTGAAAATCATGGCCGTATCATCAGCATAACACACTATATGCGTTATTGCGTTTATGTAAGCAATAATGATCGGGCGAAGTACTCTTCCCTGAGGTATACGCACATTGATTTGTAATGCTGTACTGAGCTTGCTACAAATTTCAACAGTTTGTGTTTATTCTTTTGAATAATCCTACATCAGTTCCAAAGCATGACCTCCAATACCATAAGTACACAATTTTACGAGTAGGGTTTTGATGTGACACAGTATCAAAAGCCTTTGCCAAGTTCATAAATACCGTAAGACATTTCAAAAACTTGTCTCCAAGGCCCCTACTGTTTGTTCCACGAAGTCGAGCACATTTTCAGTATTTGATTTGTTTATGAACCCGAATTGTTGTGTTATTAATATGATGTTTACTAAATAAATCTATTATTCATGTTGTTGTTCTTCTACATTGAAATATATATTTATAACAAACACCAGAATAATGCTCCAACAAACATTTCTAGATGAGGACACACCCAGTTTTGTAGAAGAGTGATTTTGTTGTATTTATTATATGTAATTTGGAAGAATATTTTGAATAAATCAATTAGTGTGTACAATTACCCACGTAGTTTATTCCTGAGTAATAATACTTCATGAATTATGGTGTAAAGGTTTAGGAAATTTAAACTCCATCTTACTTCAATAAATCTTTGTAAGCCCTAATTGGGATTGCTTTATCTGATACCTTATCATTTATAATGTATAGTAATCTGATAGTCATAGTCCAAAGACAATTAATTAATTTCATGGTTAACACATTTTGCACTACAGAAACAGTCGCTATGAATTAGGTAAGAATTCGCCATGAGCGCTGATGAGGGTAATTGTTTACATGTAACAAGAGATGGTAGTACTAAAATGTAATTACCCCAACGTATTAATTGTTCTATATGCTATTTTAATATCCCGTTTCCTCAAGAATGAAGCCACTTTTTCCGTTGTTTGTCCAAAATACGTTAAAACTCTATAATAATTTTGATTATCTAACTTCGTTGGGAAAGTTAGTGAAAAATAAAAAAGACAAAACATCCAAATTCGAGAAATCAGGAGTATATAAATTAAAGTGTGGAACGTGTTCTAAGGTATATATTGGTCAAACTGTCAGAGCATTTAGGAATCGACTCCAGGAACATCATCATATGAGCTATGTAAATAAGAAAACAAGTTCAACATATTCAAATCATCTTCTAGAAGAAAATCATATCAAATTTGGGAATTGTAATAATTTTTAATTCATAATTTTCATAGACTCTGAAGATATACAGTTGAATTCATGGCGAGTGTCTTCTTTCTTATCGTGTTTGATTTATTATTTCATTCCATGATTTCAGATGTCACCTGGACACAAATGTGCTTATTTTTCTTGTGGAATATCAAAAAGACAAGATTCTTCAGTGACGTTCTTTAAATTTCCTGTTGAACATTCAACACTTTCACGGAAATGGATTTTATTGTCTCGTATTTTTTTCAATGTATGTCTGAATGGTGATAATTTTAAATAAACCAAAAACATTTTGGACTTGGTAAAGTAACTATAATAAACATCTTGCTCACTTCAACAAATGTTAGGTAACCATAAAGACAATATAATGGAAAATTAAAAGTCGGGGATATACGAAATAACCTGTGAGGACTGTGAAAAAAAATATATCAGTCAGATTAAGCAAGCAGTTTCAAAAAACACGCAGCATATCCAATTTCGAAGACAGAAAAATCTAGTGTCGCTCAACACTCCTTGGACAACGGCCATAGAATAAATGAAAACTGTTTGAAATTGCTGAAATCATCAATGAGTTTCGGAGAGTAAAAGTGTACTGTGTTATATACAGGGCGTTCCAACAAAAACTTGATCCCCCTGTAAGTCAGAAACGGACGTGTAATCGAAAATTTCAAAGAACATGTCAATTTTTGTTTCTAGGGGGACTAATTCTGATATGGAAATCATGCCCGAAACTTCATCCCCCTGCGGTCAGCAACTACCCCCCTATTTTTTTCAATAGCATGGGGAGACGAGTGATACATAATTTGAAAGTTCTTTTGTCTCTCTATTACTTTTGTAATTTTTTTCGAAATTGGTTCATTCGTTATTGAGAAATTAAATGTTGAACGTTTCATTTAAGAAAAAACAGAAAATTCGCTGTTGTTCATTTTAATGAGGAAATCAACAACAAAAAATATCAGTGGAAACAAAATCTACGGATAAATTATTCAAAATGACATTCACCTAGTTCACTGAGGATACACTACAAAAACACACTTTTGTCTATTTTCCAAGATATTATATTCCACGGTATATATAATCGTGGAAAATAGACAAAAGTGTTTTTGTAGTGTATCCTCACTGAACATGAATTTCCACAAAACAAACAAGTCGTCAATCAAAGAAGTTCCACCTAGTTCCATACAATAATACAGTCTACTCTCGAATGCGTTCCATACATTATTCAAGATGCCCGGAGTCAGCAATCGACATTCCCGAACAATTCTCTGTTGCAGGTCTTCTAGATTTGTAGGCTTAGTAGAGAACACTTTCGACTTCAGGTGTCCCCACAGAAAGAAGTCCATTGGTGTGAGACCGGGTGATCTAGCTGGCCACTCCACTGAACTCCTTCTGGCAATCCAACGCATTGGAAAACGTTCGTCCAAAAACTGTCTTACCTGAACATCAAAATGTGGGGGTGCGTCATCCTGCTGGAATGTTATTTCATTTTCTACTAAATTGACATCATTTTCTGAAATTTGTGTAATCATAGGATCTACACAGTCTTGTAATAGATTCAAGTATGTGTCTCCATTGAGATAACCTTCAATGACGAATGGTCCAACAATATGATTACCAAGAATGCCGGCCCAGACATTCACTTTTTGTGAAGTTTGTGACTGTGTTACCATCACCAAATGAGGATTCACATCGCTCCAGTAACGACAATTGTGTCTATTCACTTCACCATTCAACATGAGAGAACTTTCGTCTGAAAAACATGTATTTTATTTTATAATAGGTTTGGGTTATTGGTCAATTTCTCGCTGAACACCTCACAAAACTGAAGTCAACGATCAGGATCCTCTTCGTTTAATTCCTGAACTAGCCTTATTTTGAAAGGATGGAATTTGTAATCTTTCAACATCCGAAAAACACTAGTAGTACTAGACGCTCTAGCTACTTGTCTGATAGATTGTCGATTATCCATTTGTATACATGTCCTAAAACTGCAACTTCAACTCCGTCATTTCTGGCAGAAAGGAATACTTTATGTTTTCTGTTGTGAACAGAACCTGAAGTTCAAAACTTAAGCATTAACTGTTTAACGTATTGATGGCTCACGTTGTGGTCTGGATGATTCACATTATAAATTCTTGCAGCAGCTTCAGCACATTCATTATTTCGATAATAGGTTGCAACAATTTCTCTTCTTTCTTCAGTATAATAAACCATGTTGGAACATAGTGAACAAGGATGACTGAATAATAATTCGCGAAAAAGTGACAGTGGCCAACTATCTACTTTTTGTTCTGCGACAACTAAATTCAACAAAAACTACCAGTGCAGAAAAAANCTTTAATTTTTTTGTCGCGTGTTTAATAAACACCCTGTATATGTTTCGCACCATGTTTTGTGTTTTTGATCCTCACAAGGATTATTTTCACAACGTTTCGGCAAAGCCCCATTTGCCATCTTCTGGTGAGGTCTGAAGTTTAGAACTAGAACTAGTATTAGTTTCTTGTTTTGACAAAGACAATTACTATAATTATGTCGAATAAACATGCCCTTGGATAACTTACTTAATTTTATGTGTTCTCTTCTGCTCCCTAATCCACAAATTTTTCAAATCTTCCAGTAATCCAAACATAGCAGGAGTATCACCAGGACTCACTTTCGTCTACGGATTGGAAAAAAAAAAGTTATGATAATCCACACAATCAAATGGTAACTTACCTCCAAACATTGATAAATCTTGGTCTGTACGAATTCCGTTTCAAAAAAGTATCTTATGAACACACATGTATTGAAGTCTATCCAACATACTGAGTAATTTTTGTATATTATTACTTCAAATTCGGTAAAAACGGCGCTAACGTTTTTCGCAGCAGATAACATGGCTTCGTAGTAATAAAACAGTCCTGATGAAATATATGATAGAGAACAAAAAACGAGTAATTAAGTAAACTCACTGGTAATACAATGGTCGCCATCAGATTTACTGTAGTTCCATTGGGCGAAAATACAATACTCCCTTAGCAAAGCCAATACCCTTAGGTACAACTGGCTTTCGTCCTCTTCTAATAAACTGAAAAGTAAAAAAAAAAATAATGACAAAAGAGTTCCACAGAGCAGTATCTTCGATCCCTTGTTGTTGTTAACGAATTCCTAAATATCTGTTAATATTTGACAATACATGGAATTTTCATTGTTTTGTTTTGAAATGAAATTAGTAATCAGAAGTATGAAACGATTTGGAAGTTACTTTTTCTATCAATCTGAATGTAACTTTATTTGGTGAGAACGAATAAAATGTAAATAACAAAATTCATGAAAATTCCAACGATTTCCTACACAACAGAATGTTTGTTTACTCAAAATCGCAAAAATTTTTGAATTCTCCAATATAGATTAATTGCACAACATATAAAGGGTTATTACTCCCTACATTTTTATCAATTCAAATTTAGCTAAAACATACGTAATATTATAAGGGGATGAAAAATTACTTCGGCGGGTAGTTTATATGACAAACATACCTTTTATATTGATGAAAAGCCAATACCCTCAGTAGGCTCTCGTAAACGTTTTGGTGGTATTAGCCGGGAAAGTAGTTGTTTTCCAACAGACGTTTACCAGAGCCTTCTGTGTAGATAGTTGGGAGAGAGTAATATTTCAAAATTTCATTTCGAAAATTTTTATTTTCTTATACATATGTATCTCTCCTCGATAGTTTACACTTTTGATTTCTGTTGAGAGTTCTGGTACATGGGATGTTTTTTCCCCGCTTGGGGATTTTTTCACGAGATGGAGTTGTTACTAGTTAACAATCTATCTCTTAGGCGAAGGTTTCATATATATAGTGGAGCCATGTTGAAATTAATCGAGTGCCAGGCACTTTGTTGCCTGGGCAGGATCTTTCCTGTGCTGACGAGAGGTAATACCTCGAAACCGCGGTCTGCAGGTGATCTACTTGAATGATTTCAGCATGGTTCTGCTGCTGGATGAACGAGAAACATCTGCGAGACTAATCTTTGTGAGTTTTCTTACATAAATGTCAGTCAGATATAACTCAATATCCAGCGTGGTATTAGCCAAGAGAAGTAGTTGTTTTCGGACAGACGTTTACCAGAGCCTACCGTGTAGGTAGCAATTAGTTTTTTCAAACTTTATTTTGAAATATTTATTTTCTTATAAGTATGTATCTCTGCTTGATAGTTTTCACTTTTGATTTCTGTTAGATTTCATTATTGCCCTCTTGAGAGTTCATGTCCTGAAGCAGTCAGGATATCGGCATATGGAGCTGTTTTATGTTTAAATTTCATAACATTAGAGCTGGTTCCTGAGAGAAGAATTGACAGAGTGCCAAAAAATTTTTTGAGAATCAGATGTGAAAAGTTAAGTAAACTCATGCAAGTGAAAATGAGTAAAAGCACTGAGATAAACAGAATTATGGATTATATAATTCAAAATAAAGAGAAAAATGGGGAGAATAATAAGAAGAATACATATAAGTAATAAGTGAATACATTGAAAATTTGGTATATAATTAATTTCCAAGTATCAAAAGACATTTGAATTTTGCAGCTGTGATCTCTGGATGTTGACTTTCTGTATATCTCCGGTACCTGAAGAGTTGAGAGTTAATTTTTTGTATCAATCAATAGTACTCTAAAATAGTCAACTTTGCCATAGTTTAACCCATTCCATCTCTTACCTTTCATGAGGTTCGCATACAGTGACTAGATGTTGAAAAACCTTTTATATACATTATAAATAATGAAAAAGTAACACCTGTTTTCAATGAAATTTTAAAGTAAGCTTTTATGACGATGTAAAAAAGTTACAATAATTCTGTCAATTTGGTAATTTGGAAACAGAGCATGGTACGATATTTTGATAAATAAAGAAATATAAAGCTGCACGATCCCCTTCAAAAAACCACATAAACCATGAAACATTCTTTTAGCACCCTACATAAGATAAATTCACAGTGTACTTACTGGAAAAATTTTGGGCATATTGTAATAATCTATACCAGTTTTACCTTAATTTTGGGCATATTGTAATAATCTATACCAGTTTTACCTTAAACGTATTGTAAATTTTTTGGTTAGTTGATTCCATACACCTTTATTAAATACTTTGAAGTATTTCAGTCAATTTAAGTTATTCTTTTTTCTATTTTTTGTGGAAGCGAAATCATCTTAATGTCAAATTTGAGACTTAAATTTCACAAAATTTCCATAACCACCAATCTTTTCCCCTTATTATATGGACACCATTGAATCAATCAACTTTAAATATTGTTCAAATTACTATTTTGTATGGATTTAAATCAAACCTCATAGAGTATGGTAATGGAAAAATTATAGTTGTATATTGTTTAACTTTTACATGTTCAACTCATTTTCTGATGTCTATCACTACATATCATAAATAAATAAATATATATTTATTTATATAAGTTTTATGACTGCTGCCATTCTCTATATCAGCAACTTTTATTGGTAACATTTGTTATTAGTAACCAATGATCAACAAATACTCACATAGCACAATAACACAAAACAAAGAGATAGGATGCCATATTACACTTACCTAAGCAAAATGGTATGTTAATATCAATTAATTATCTGTGATAAGCTTCTATTCAGTCATAACAAGACAAGAATGTTATTACTTCTAAGAGGTAGCTTGAAATAATTGTAATTACTCACCTTTTGACTAATTCCCTCATTTCAGCAATAAAAAAGGGTGATAAGACTTCTGCAGAAGGATCTGGATTAGGATTAGCAAAATTTCTATAAACATAATGCATATAATGGTGCAAATCTATCCATTTTTGAGATTTGGAAGGAGACATATCCTTCACTTTTTTGAGAAAATCAAGTAGTGTTTTCCGTTCCACATTGGAAAATTCGCTGCTGTTCAGCCAATTTAACCCATTGGGAACTTTTACATTATTCAGATCATCAGGAGACTGAAATAAACCATTGTAGTGTGTTTATTATGATTCTTGAATTGTAGTGCAAGAACATCTCTATTTACTCTTACCTTGAGTAATTTATATATATTATCTCTAGGTCTATCATGTAAAGACTTCAAAAACTCCAAGGAATATATTCCTGTGGCATCGTGTTCTGGAATAACTGGTAGAGGTGCCGAAGAATGTTTGGAGCCCATTTCAAATTCGTGTGAAGCTCGACGACACGTTTGTTTAACCAACAGTTCGATAAATGAAGAGAATTTACTCATTTTAATATTTTGTATAAAAATAATTGATGTCTTTTTGAAACTTTCAACCACTAAGGTACATTTTGCACATATACCTTCAGAGAAAAATATTTTTGTTATAGCGCTCAGCACTGTTTTACATTTTTTGCCCCAGTAATTGTTTCTGCTGTCTCTGGGTTCTGGCTTGACTAACTGAATGTCATAAGTCAACAGTCGATACCTGTGTTTGGCGTTAGGAAGGCAGTGTTGCCAGAATAGTTTTCGGATAACCGCACGGTCCACTAGGAATACAATTAAATAAACGGTAGTAAACGTAAAATTCGTAAAATTTTTCGCTGTAACTAGATTGGGTACTCATACCTCTCTGAATGGTAAATATATTGGATATACCTGTCACCGTACATCGAAATCAATAAGTCTTTTGGCAAGAAGCAAGAATAAACAACAAAAGATTTTATTTTGATTGTTCCTAGATGGAAGAAGCTGTAGGCGCCACTCATCCGATTTCAAGAATTGTTTTTCTCATGAACATTCTGAGAGCAGCTCTGAAAAAATGTTTGAAATATATTTTTCTGTTAACCATCTGTCGCCCCATACGCCACCCTACGAACGACAACCCTTAGAAATGGAAACTTGTGTGGGCTGTATAAGTGAGGATTTAACTTTCAACATGCTATTACTTGCACGATACATATAAGGCAATACCTTAAATTCAACAGAAAAATTCCGACGGATTGCTTCAACCAATTGAAATGCGGTAAGGTGATGAAAGGCCATAGATGAATTTATCGGATCAATCGGTGGACTCGAGGAATTCAAGAACTTGGTTATACCTACTCAGTCGCTACCCAAGGACATCGAAGATAAATATTCAACATGAGAGGTTAGAAATTCTATTCATTTTAGTGGGAATTTCAAATATTTTTTATAATAGTTTCAATATTTCTATTAGATGTCGCCTCATCATGAAACATCTCCCAAAGAATATACATCCCATGTAGTATGTCGCCACCTATATCTTAGAAGTTGAAGTTCGGTTATCCTAATATACATACATTCTCCTGAATGAAAGAAATCTTGAAATGCATAAAATTGAACAAATATCATCATAGAATAAAGATAATATGAAGATTCTTTTATCTCATTTAGCGGGTGTCTAGTTTACCTTTTTATGCACTCTGATAATCCCACCCTTATTTCTGAACTGGAATGCAATATGCACTGAACGCCACATTGAAAATTTGGTGATGCCATTTGAAAGCACAAATCAATCACTAAATTTTATGCTTTCGTTTTATTCTTCTGCTTAGCATTCCCGACTTAGCAGAACCACTCAATTGATATATCACCCACTGAGATGTGATGACATAAATTTATAAACGAGTATGTTCAATGTTGTCGGTAGTTTCCTGGATTTTAACATTCGCGGCTAACTATCCGCTGAACGTAACATTACCTATACAAAGTTGAGTAGGGGTTTGGAATTCCATTTTATCATTACTACCTAATAGCATTTTTTATTTTAGTGGATATTTTGTATCAAACACCAGCCGATTAGAAACAATAAAATCATTAAAAATAATGTAGGCAATCAAAATCGATATTTTTTTATGTTGCATTAAAAGTCTGGTAGTCTGGCATTAAAAATAATGTAGGCAAAATTAATTTCGAAAGTGAACAAAAAAGTCATCATCAATCTTGAGCTTGAAGAACTGAATAATTACGACTAGAATTTTTTTTTGACCGGCATCAGCTGAAAGTAGCAATTCCTGATAAAGTATTTTATTGTGTCCATGATTGTTTCTATCGACAATCTTGTTCTGGTTAACAAATTAGAATAGCTTCTCAGAGTGGTCTGAAATACTTCTTAGTTCAGTTGATATCATTGTATTATTTTTATTTATTTCACCAAAGTAGTTTGAAGTCGATTTTTAGTAAATTATTGTTTACACTTTACGAGTCCATTCAAAGTGGGGGTTTCTGAAATAATTCCTGAACTATAGTGAATAGATAAGGTATTCCATTTACTTTCTCAATGGTAGGTACCAAAAAAGTTGCAAGAAGTGATATTTTCAGTTTTTGGCTCCAATTTGTCGGCCATCCTATCACCGAAAGTTCACGAAAAATTCTACAAAAAATCCTCAAACTCCCAAGTTATTACCGAACTATCATAGTTAGAAAAAATTGTTTTTATAGAATTTTTTTTGGGACGAATGAACTGAAATATAAAATTTATCAAAAGCATTTCTAGAACTCGTTACTGTACATAACTCACTTTGGTTGAAATTTTTTGATATCTCTTTTCGTTCTGAAGATGTTCAGTGGGAAAGTCTTAATGGACTCAACCGTGAAAATTTCAAGTCGATTACTTGTTTCCTTCGGGAGTTTTGATGAGCCATACTTTTGTGGGCAACTGACAGACAGACGGACGGACGGACGGACAAACATACAGATGACAGAATTGACCTAAAAAATTTAATTTTTCGATCCTGAACAACTCCAAAGTAACCATTGTCTAACTCTTCAAATGAAAAAGTTGGTTTTCGCTTCGAAAATAGCAGTATACTTCTATCTAAAGGTAGTAGTATAACAACTGGAAGTACAAATATTGCCAAGTTCTGGATGACAAAACCTCTAGAGGTGATGGTCAGGTAAGTGGAACATCCTTCTTGTGACTCTTCAGTAGTAAGTACATGCTTTAGCTCGGTATGGTGTCACAATGATCTTTTATTATCCGAAAGGTAAAGTTGATATTCCATATAGACAATGGACCTCCTACATTCACGAAGGGAAATTATTGTCAAACACTTATAGATCCACTACACAGTGGGAAGTAAATAGTTCACAAAGAGATGACGCTATCAACCTTTTTTCAAATGGAAAGAAGGATCTTGAGATACCTCGTTTGATAGATATTTGGATAGAGAATTAAAATGCCTATCAAACGAGGTATCACAAGATCCCTCGTTTGATAACCTCGTTTGATAGATATTTGGATAGAGAATTAAAATGCCAATCAAACGAGGTATCACAAGATCCCTCTTTCCATTACTAAAAAGTACTAAAAATGATAGCTTTCTACGTAAATATTGTCCGACCTTGATATCTTTTCCCGTTCAAAAGTTGAGCTGGGGGAACGTTCACGTCCACACTGTATTGATTCTAGAATGGCATCATAATTTCGCAAACGTTTTTATTCTACGGGATTTAGAATAGATATCTTAGCATATAGTAAGCATACTGCAATTTTTTCTATAGAAACATTAACCTGTTTGGCTGAGATGATGTGGAGTTCCCGGTGGTGGTCTATTGTCTACATCTGTTCAAATCTGTTTTTCCGATAATCAGCTGTCGCACCCTTACGAACGACAACCCTCAGAAGTCGAAACTTGTGCGAGCTAAGGATTAACGAGGTCTTACCTTTTAACGTGTGATCCCTAACACGGGCAAGTGAAAATCGATCGTTCAGACTGGGGCTTGAACCACTGACCAACACGGCAGTCAATTCGAGTGAGTGAACAAAGCATCCACGTCGAACCGCCTGGCTACCGAGGCAAGCTTACGCCAAATGGTCAATGATCGATTTTTCTCTATGCAGTTTTAATTCAAAACTAGAAAATACATGAAACATTTTTCAGAAAATGGTTTTTTCACTTACCAAATGAAATAACCTATACCCCATAGACAATAGGTAATACTGTTATTGAAAATTATTTTTATTGATTACATAAAACATTAGAGATACGCCACTGGTTGTGCAATAACCTTTGGAGTGCAGTTCCTGAGGTTTTTCATCAGAGGGGTTTCACAATTCACTAGTAGGTATACAGTTCTTTTGTTTTATTTTCGCTTCCACAAAGAGGAAGGAAATACAATTCGATATGGGGGATTTATGTTTCAACTTGATGTAATATTATACCGAATAAATTCCTTCAAATACATTATGTTAGCGTTAACTAGAACATTTTACCAATTTTTCCTACTCCCTTTCCAAACGCTTCTTCAAAAATTCATAAATAATATCTATATCCTGTAAAGAATGTTTTGAAACCATTTGACTAGGCGCCTGCGTACTGCAAAGTGCAGTTATTCTCGTGTTTGAGAAGGATCTTGTTTCAGTGATTCAATTCAGTTGAGTACGCGATTGGTTCGGTGGAAGTGGATGTACCCGCCACAGAACAGATGGATTCATTTCCATCCAATGTCAGCTCGTCAGTGATAGCTGTTGGCAACACGGCATAGAATTTCGTTCGTTCACCTTTCAGAAAATATTTACTGCAAGTGCCTAATTAGACCTAAAAGTGTGAAAACAATCGTTAAATTGTCAGACAGTGTCAGTTGAAAGTGCTAAAGGATTTTTTTGACAGTTGTCTTCACCTGAAAAGGTAGGTGAACTATTTCTATTAAATATTCAAGGTATTTAAAAGAAACTGAAGGTAAATTTGTTTTGTTTGTTTTTTCAATGACACTCATTGTTGACAGTAATAATTTGTCTAATAATAATTATATCATAAAAATAATCTGGTATGCTTGCATTTATTTATATGTGCAATAAAATACCTTTGCGGTGGCGTGCAAGATATCAAGGTCACATAACATTTGTGCTAAGGAATGTCAGAAATAACAAAATACAGGAAATTGTATACTTTTGCAACCTACAACGGTACAAATTACATTACGTAAATATTGAGGTATTGAACCTTTTTTCCATTTGTTTTGGTTGGGTAATTATTCATGTCTCTATTGCAAAACTGTTTAGAAACAATCCTGTCTGCAGGTATTATAAACAAATTGAAATTAGATGGTAACATATTCATTTCTCACGAATTGTGTGAATGTATGTTACCAGGACTAATCATTAATTATACAGTATGTTTCACTTCTCACCTTTAGCCTTCTATTTAATGCACGTATTGGAAAAACGTTTCTCTTGAAAAAAGTTGTTACTTATATTAAAGAGGAAAACAGATTCGACTGTTAAGGAGAAAGTAAGTCTTTCAGTAAATCAGGTAGTTAATTAACATATACACATATAAAAATTATTTGACTACTTTTCAATGATGTATTAAATGTATACACATAATGGACAATTTCAAAGAATGGAAAAAAATCAACAAATTTTACTTTGAAGTCTTGCTGTTCGATATACGAGAAGCATTTGCAAAATTTTCCTTTACAATAATTCAATTGTTTGTCTGTATAACTCAATGCCCGTCATGGCACTAGCCATGGAAGAAGTTGTTTTCCGACAGTTATTTGTCAAGTCCAACTGTGTTGGAACGTTGGAAGAGGTAAATTTTTCGAATTTCAATTCGAAATAATAATTTTTAGTATGTATATGTATCTTCACTACCCACCATCAGACTTAGGTATGTTCCTTAGAAAAATGTAGATAATATACGTGTATACGTATACCTATTTATTTTGTTTACTTGAGAATGATTTAACAAACCAAAACTGGTCGTAACAAATAAAAAACTTATTAGAAATCAGACAAAAGTTATTTTCTTTATCCTAATTTGAATTATTATTTATTTGCTATTTGCTAATATTTTCGCCCGTTATATTTTTTCATTTAGAACGAAGAAGTAGAAAGCCGAAAATCTTTTTTTTCCAAGCATTAATTCTCTGCAAAATAGTTTTTTCCTATGTGAGTCAAAACATTGACAAAAAATACGGATGAATTAGGAATTTTCAGATAGAATTGAATTTAAGAAGGCGGCAGGACTTCAAAAATATTCACGCTCCAATGATTATGGTTGAATATCGATTTGAATTCGAACTAATTATTTGATCTTATTCATTCAAAACAAAAGTAACGTTGAACAAGTTCAACGATTTGAAATAATCATAAAACATATATTGGAGTTCAGTAAATTTTAAATATTTTTTAAATTTCTTTTAGTTGGCTTATTTCAAAGGGTATCTAGATAATTCAGTATTATCCATCTATGTGAACTTCTTTCGGTATTATTTGAAGTCGTGAAAGAAGAAAGGCCCTTCATTTGTTATCCTGGAAACATATAAGTTTACAAAGTAAACATATCAATAACAACAAAATTAAAAGGTCTTCAAATATTATGGCACACTGGAAACAAATTATATAAAAAATATATTCTATAAGAAACTTCATCTACTATGATATTCAAAAAGTTTCCCTGATAATATTAGGAAGATTAGTAAATCCGTTCATATACATACTCACTGATTTTTTCCGTTGATACTGTGTTTACTGGATTATTTTCGAATATTACTCGGAATATTATCAATAGTACTCGTACCAGTACATTCATAGAAATTGCTGATTTATTATCCTTCGGTATTATACAGGGAGTCTTGTCAAAACTGAAGTAGGTGACAAAGCAGGACATTTTTTATAAACACTTCCATATAACATCAAGGACATTCTTGATGTTTTTTTTAAGTAGTCAGTAGCAGGGTTGTAGGTCTTTCATTTGAAATATGTTTTTAAAAATTTCACGGTTTCCAGAAAATGTGAGAGCTTCTAGTATAATTTGAATGAGTGTATTTCAAGTCGATGCAGTCAAAAAATCACTCCTTTTGGTAAAAACTACATTTTTTTTTGGTAATAAAACCAGTACTTTACTTCATGCAAAACATTTTATTACTTGTGTTTTTATTGCAATATCCATGTTAAGTCTGTAATGTTTTTATTTCTAACCTGGAATATTCATTTAATTAGGTTATAACAAACAAATTGTTGGTTTAATGAGAATAGCACGTTTTCAATACTAACCTGAAGAAATAAACGCTCGAAATCCGGCTCTAATTCACGCCTGCAGCGACGAATTGGAGATTTCTAAATGCTGTTTCATATTTTTTCAACTAAGTACATGATGAATTTGTTACCGTAATTTTTGTTCATTATTACTTTCTCTTTCATGTAGTTTTAAACAAAAAATGGAGAGGGTTTAGATCCATGGCCCGCAGTGGCTAAGAGATTCCCCCCTTTCTATCCATCTTCTTTGATAGAGATTTGTTTACTATGACTGTACTTCACGGGTAGAATGTGGTGGAGCGACATCTACCCGAAACTCCATATTTCTACGTAGTTTAAAGTTACTCCATCTACCAAGACTGGCAGATCGTTTTTTGCAACTTCATTCAAAATGTCCCTGGGTTTTTACAATATTTTTTAGCAACAAAAACAAGCTTTTACAATAATGAAAATGACTCGAAAACTCTGAGAGACTAGAACCAATGTTATACGTACTTTTTCACCATATAAATACCCTTTTTCACTACTATGAGTTATATGTAACACCATGCATGCTTCGGTTTTGTTTGAGAAAAAGAGATCTGACCTCCATACCCGCCATACTGAATAACGTTGACTTCCTGAAATATTTCACTGTAGTTAAAATGGAATCCTCTCGATGAGCTTGTGAAAAATGTATGTCTGCCCTGCATTAAAATTAAATATAACTACTGAATCCTGGTAAAGTTTCATCACAATACTTAATTACCGGAACTGAATTTTCCTGAAAAGGAAGTTATGAAATAAAGTTGTGAAACATGACAAAATCAAGCCTGATTTAGCAACAATATATAGCGTCATCAAACGGCTACATCAGATGATTCAGTGTCGTAGACATGCAAGTTTCAGTTGAAATTTTTATAAAAATGTGTATTCATCATCGGCTACACTAGCAAATTATATTTTATCAAGAAAAACTTTTAGTGACTGAATGAAGTTCAATTATTAAATTCAATTCAATCTAAAAACAAAAAAAAATATGACATTATATTCAGGTGCTGTCCGAGGGGGTTTATAGGGGGTCATGACACCCCCAAATCGTATAAGTTAAATTGAGAAAACTTGTATAAATATACATTTTACCTGGCTTTAATAAATTATAATCTTTCTCCAAATATTTCTTTCTTACAAATATTGTAAACGAAATTGAAAATAGGTTTTCAAAATAATTTTGAAAGAAACACTGTAATGCCGTGAATCATCATCACAATCGATAGAGTATGAGATAACATGAACTTTTTTGAGCTGGGAATTTTTATGCCGAAATCTGGATATAGAGAAGAAATTAAAAATGTATTCCCATTTCTTAGGCGTTATTGTTTTCACTGTTAAAACAGGGGCTCATAGAAAATAGTGTCTCAGAAGTTTCTATAGTCGAGCATATACACTGCGAATATAAACACTACTGAAAATTTTTGCAACTCGATTTCCATTCATTTTATGATTTCATTCATAATATTATAGTAATTATTATGTGGTGAACACAGTTTCCTCAAAACAAGATGCCCAGGAGTTCCTCATAATTTTTTAGAACGTTTACACGTATAAAAAGTGCAAACAATTTATTATTTTTGTTGTTATTTCTTCTTCCTATTCCATTGTGTGTGGAATATAACATCGTTCAAATGTCCGCCACGGATATGGAACCATGACTCTGGCGCTGAATTTGACCGATGGCATGGATTATGAGGACTGTATTGTAGCTTATTCGCTTACACATGCGACTTAAGAAGACCCCACAAAAAAAGTCTAATGGGGTCAAATCGCACTATCTCGGTGGCCAGTTCACATCATCTTGACCATGTCCTCAAATCGCTCGTGCAGAAGAATATCCTGTGTGGCATGAGCTGTGTGGCATGTAGCGCCTACCTGTTGAAACCACATGTCGTTAATGTCCAGATCATCCAATTCAGGCCAAAATAAGTTGGTAATCATCAACCTATAGGTAGTGCTCGCCGTTGACAGTGATAGCCTGGCCAACGTCGTTCTTGAATAAATATGGATCGATGACACCGCGAGCCCAAAATCCACACCAAACATTTACTTTTTCGGGATGCATTAGATGCTCTTGGATCTCATGTGGATTGGCACCGTCCCAAATTGGACAATTTTGTTTGTTCAGTTCCCGTGTCAGTGTAATTTTGTAGGAGTGCAAGCCCAAGTCACGACGTAAAATTTGCTAAGTTGTGGTCTGCGAAAGGCTGAGTTCTTGTGAGCGACGCGAAATCGACTATCACGGATTCTCCCGTTTCGTCAACGTACGGGTGTTGGTCGATCCTTTAAGGTTGGTTCTGGTTCTACGAAATTCAGGTTCTAGGACGTCAGGGTCATGTTGATATAGAGCGTTCTGGTTTATTGAGAAGAGTTCGGATTGATGAATCCTCTCTCCTGGGTTCGACTACGAAATGATCTTAAACGATCTTGAACCGTCCCGAATCGTTCTTGCTCTCGAGGCTGAACTGTTGAGAACTGTTCCCGTTGCTCATGCGCATTTAATGTGTACGCTAAACAAAATGGACATGATCAACAGTATTTTCTCGTCTTCATCTCTTCAAATATACGATAAGTGGCACAATGATCTCCTCAAAATGCGTTTTGGTTTAACCA